TTACAGCCTGAAGTGTGGAACGCATAGACATCACCAGACGCTGGGTTTCATCCCTGGTGATGCTCTGCCAGGCCTCTACTGCAACTGTCTTCAGTTCCTGCTTGTTCTTGGGGCATTTTCCCTTCCGTTTTGTCTTCAGCAAGTGAAATGCATGCTCAATCGGATTCAGGTCATGTGACTGACTTGGCCATTGCATAACATTCCACTTCTTTCCCTTAAACTCTTTGGTTGCTTTTGCAGTATGCTTTGGGTCATTGTCCATCTGCACTGTGAAGCGGCGTCCAATGAGTTCTGAAGCATTTGGCTGAATATGAGCAGATAATATTCCCGAAACACTTCAGAATTCATCCTGCTGCTTTTGTCAGCAGTCACATCATCAATAAATACAAGAGAAGCAGTTCCATTGGCAGCCATACATGCCCACGCCATGACACTACCACCACCATGCTTCACTGATGAGGTGGTATGCTTAGGATCATGAGCAGTTCCTTTCCTTCTCCATACTCTTCTCTTCCCATCACTCTGGTACAAGTTGATCTTGGTCTCATCTGTCCATAGGATGTTGTTCCAGAACTGTGAAGGCTTTTTTAGATGTCGTTTGGCAAACTCTAATCTGGCCTTCCTGTTTTTGAGGCTCACCAATGGTTTACATCTTGTGGTGAACCCTCTGTATTCACTCTGGTGAAGTCTTTTCTTGATTGTTGACTTTGACACACATACACCTACCTCCTGGAGAGTGTTCTTGATCTGGCCAACTGTTGTAAAGGGTGTTTTCTTCACCAGGGAAAGAATTCTTCGGTCATCCACCACAGTTGTTTTCCGTGGTCTTCCGGGTCTTTTGGTGTTGCTGAGTTCACCGGTGCGTTCCTTCTTTTTAAGAATGTTCCAAACAGTTGTTTTGGCCACGCCTAATGTTTTTGCTGTCTCTCTGGTGGGTTTGTTTTGTTTTTTCAGCCTAATGATGGCTTGATTCACTGATAGTGACAGCTCTTTGGATCTCATCTTGAGAGTTGACAGCAACAGATTCCAAATGCAAATAGCACACTTGAAATGAACTCTGGACCTTTTATCTGCTCATTGTAATTGGGATAATGAGGGAATAACACACACCTGGCCATGGAACAGCTGAGAAGCCAATTGTCCCATTGCTTTTGGTCCCTTAACAAGTGGTAGACACATATGCAAACTGTTGTAATTCCTACACCGTTCACCTGATTTGGATGTAAATACCCTAAAATTAAAGCTGACAGTCTGCAGTTAAAGCACATCTTGTTCATTTCATTTCAAATCCATTGTGGTGGTGTATAGAGCCAAAAATGTTATAATTGTGTCGATGTCCCAATATTTATGGACCTGACTGTACTTATTGAGCCACAAAGATAGGATGCAGTTTGCCCTTGATCTATGTCATGCATTGCCATGGTGTGGGCAGGCCAGCCACTAGCATTAAAACTACCAATGAAGCTCCAAAGCCAGGACACAGAGCATCACGCTCACACCATGGCAACAAAGGATGCTGATCCTGGGCAGGTGGCATGCAGGGCCTGTAATGGTTGTGCACATTAAGCACATAAAAGCTGTAGGTGACATCCATCTTGTCAAGTCAGTCTCAGCCAGGGGCAGACTGACAACTCATGGGGCCCCCGGGCAATAGGGGATCATGGGGCCCGTGTCCTTGCCCAAACTCAAAAATGCCCATGAGGGGGCATCTCATGGGGCCCCCTACTGACCCTGGGCCCTCGGGCAGTGCCCGAGTTTCCAAATGGTCAGTCCGCCCCTGGTCTCAGCTATTTTTTTTTGCCCGAGCCCAGCAATTGTACCTTCTCTCTCCTCCTGCAAACTATGAAATTCATAGCCTTAACTTTTATCACACTTCAAAATAGCCTGTTATCTCACCTTAGAGACAGCAGACACCAGCACACAGACCTGGGTCAGAGCTGTGAACTGCTAATTGAGGCCTGGCAGGATATCAGTTTTTATGGACCATAAAAAAAACTCTGGATTAACACTTCCCTCCAACCTATCTTAAAACAATGATAAAATCCTTCAGTTCTGTCACACATGATGTGTAAGGCAATTAAAGCACTAGGAATGCATAGTGTGCCATAAAATGTCTACCAAGAAATCAGCCAGGCATGGACAACCTCTCTGAGACCTCTGCCTAATTCACAAACTAACAAACTCCACAAACAATTAATAAAAACTAACAGGACCGTGGACATGAAATATAATGCTGAACAATAATCTACCCGTTTCCAGAATGCAACCTGCTAGGGAAAGATATTAATATTAATATAAAACTGTGTGTAAGGGAGGGCCTAATACAGTCATAAATGTGGTGACCTCCCAGCCCCCACCCCTTAAACTGCGTAATTGGTCAGATGGCCTCTGTCAACACCCCCCTTGACGTCAGATAAAAAAAGAGATTGCAAGCAGAATTGTTAGCTCTCTTTTTAGCATCAACCAAGGCACACCTAATTGGACTTAAATGAGCCACTGCAACGTTTTTGTTTGGACAACTAGACTGCTAAAACCAAGGACTTTGCAAGTATTCTTCATTTCTTTGTAAAATCTTTTTTTCTGTAAATATTTGATTTGCATCATTCTGACCTTTTCATTATTAAACCCTACTTTAAAAAGTGTTAAACTGTCAATAGGGCTTTTAATGCAAACTAAAAGAATCCCTAATCCTCTGAATATACCTGTCTGTGGTGACAGTGTGTGTGCGGATGTTTATTTCTCATGTTTGTTCTTGCTAACATTATGAGTTCCCACCTTCTCAGTCAATAGGTGGTGGTGGAAGATTGTGGTTTCGTGAGATGTGCAGGGTGCAGCTGAGAGTGGCATTGCTAAATAAGTGACAGCGTGAACATATTCAATATACGCTGTTGGATAGGATGCACTTACTCCACAGTAAATGGGATGGTTGGAGAGCACATCGACACCTATTATTTGAGTGATGATCTATCAGAGATTGTTTACATCATACCTATTAATGAGCTTGTGATTGTTCTGTTGATATTATTGACTACCTCATTCATGTACTTGATTTTATTTTTACTATTTTCTTTCTACGAATTTGCTTTGTATTTCTGTTTAATCTTTATATATTTTTGTCTTATGCTGTTGGCTCTACCTCACTGTATAGTGCAGTTTTTGTAGTCTTATCTCTTAATAAAAAAACATTTGTAAGCAAAAACAAATAAGTGACAGCGCAGTGTGCAAATGGCCAGTCCTTTGTCATGAGTTGGCGAGAAGGGCAGGGGTCAGGGACCGCGATCGTCACAGGGCCACACCAGCATTCAGTAGGGGATGGATATGCACCTCTGTCCAGACCGGCTCTGCCTCCTGCCCTCTGCCAAGCTGCTGGAGTAAGGTTCTGATGGGATGGGCTGTGATAGAGGAGGAACTCTGATGTGATGAGGTGGCTCTCATGTCTATGGGAGGACTCTGATGGGAAGGGGAGGGCTTCTTATGTGATGGGGAGACTCTGATGTGATGGGGGGACCCTGATGGGAAGATGAGCTTCTGTTGCGATAAGGGGACTCTTATGTGATGAAGGGACTATGTAAAATGGACTACTCTAGTGTGATGGGGGTACTCTGATATGATGGGGAAACTCTTCTAGGTAAAAGGAAAAGAGAGAGCACACAAACTTATAGTGCAGTTACGTTTAATAAAACATTGATAAAACAAACATAAAAAGATTGCACTCTCAGACAGAGCCTTGTATTTGGCATGACATCCATAATAATTGCTTGATAGCAGCTGTCTGAGCGATGCAGTGTTCACTGAGGACTGGATCATTCAAGGTTTAAGCTCAGAAAGCTGCTATCAAGCAATTATTATGGATGTCATGCCAAATACAAGGCTCTGTCTGAGAGTGCAATCTTTTTATGTTTGTTTTTTTAGCAATGTTTTATTAAAGGTAACTGCACTATGAGCTTGTGCGCTCTTTTCTTTTTGTCTTGTTTTCAGCTTCCATTAACTCTTGTGTTTGTGAGCGCAGGAAAGTTACTTGAGACTCAGTTTATTTAGTTATTTTTTATTTTGAAAAACTATATCCTGGGGTTGTGGATTGTGGATTCACATATTCGGAACATCTTGGGTATTGGCCCAACTTCAGAAGGTGAAAACTGTAGTGTATTAAACTCCGATAGGTAGAGGAGGCTTCTGAAGTGATGGGGATACTCTTTTGTGATAGGGGGTTCTCCGATGTGATGAGGAGTCTCTGTAAAGAGAAACTCTGATGAAAAGGGGGGACATTGTGAAAGAGAGACCCATATGTGATGAGAAGACCTCCAATGTGATGGGGGGACTCTGATGGGAATGTATGGGTTCTCATGTGATTTGGGAGGGAACTCTGGGACACTGTTTGGAATAGATGACTCTGATGAGAAGGGGTAACCCGATTTTAGAGGGGGGACTCTGCTGTAAAGAGGGGACCTCTGATATAAATGGGGGTACTGAAGTGATGGGGGGAGCTTTTATGTGAAGGGGGGCCTCTGATGTTAAGTAAAATTTCATCAAAGTGATTATGTGCATCACCACAGGGCTCAGGTTTCCCATCATTGGTAAGTAACACATGCATTCTTTTTACATTATAGGCTGGTGTGCCTCGAGATTTTGTGTATTTGTAATGCAGATCATGACTGACCAATTTGTTCATTGGCATGATGAAGACATAACTTTGTGGCAACCACATTCTTGGAGTGCACCATTGACAGGGGCGGACTGACCATTCGAGCACTCGGGCACTGCCCGAGGGCCCGGGGTCAGTAGGGGGCCCCATGAGATGCCCCTGGTACCTTTCATTGGTTTTTTTTCTTAGGCTTTTTTGGGTGTGGGCGAGGACACAGGGGCCGAATGATCCCCTATTGCCCGGGGGCCCCATGAGTTGTCAGTCCGCCCCTGACCATTGATAAACAGTTTGTAAATGTGATGAGACCCTCATTATGTATTTAGAAACCTAATACAATAGTAATGTTATAAGTGAAACCTCACAGAAGTATACTTTCAAACATAAAAAAACAGTAGTTGGGCTTTAAAGAAACAGAACCCACAAGCTCAGTATGGTGATGACTGACCTTTAGGCAGGCTCCGTCCACCTCAGGGAAGGTGATGGGTGAGGAAAGCCGACGGGCCACTGCTGGCACAGGTGGATACAGGCGCATGCTCTCCTTAATACACATGGTGGAGTATGGCATCTTACCCAGATCCTCCCTGATTGCACACAAAAGTGAAATATATGGTAATATTTAAAACCCAACTCTTAGATTTTTTTTTAATCGTCTTCCAGACTATATTCAACTCTTACTCTTGTCTCCTGCAATACAGAGTGATGCAGAGCGCTCGATGACTTTGTATAATTGAGGACTGACCTTCTCTGGAGAACATCCAAAGGTAAAAGGATTCTACATGTCACATTCCAATTCTGAAGAGTTTGGAATTGTAAACAAAGAAAAAATTAACAAAAGCAAAAAAATGCCTAGGGGGGCAATGTGTACCCACAACTGTCTTTTTTTATTGTTTACACCACCTGCAATTCAGCACTATGTGATGTTTGCCATACCCTGTCTACTATAACAATTGGATTAAAGTACAACTAAAGCTCCTGTATGTCAGTCTAGATAAGTACCGGATCTAATTACTATGTGATCGACAGTAAAAGCCTAAAAATACCCCAAAATTTCCTAAAACTTACATTCCCTGGCTGAGCCTATTCCTGCTTTATTTGTGTCCCAAACCTTTCCCTCCCAGACACTGCAGCTCACAGTGGGAGAGTTTCAGTAACAAAGGCAGTGTTGTCAATCTAGAAAGCAGTGGGAAGCACTAGGTGTGGCCACGTGATGATTACCAAGCTACAGGTGCTTGTGAATCAGCAGTGACAATGCCAGGGGTGGACTGACCCATTCGTAAAACTCGGGCACTGCCCCTGGACAATGCTCATACTGTGCAACATATTTTCATCCCACTGTAGTTCAAACAGATACAGCCTACATTGGAGGGACAATGCTGCTTGGATTTTTTGGAGGCAGCATTGTTGCCACTCTATTACAAGAAGATACATTAGGTGGACTTCACTGGCAGGATCAACAGGTAATTGTGGGTCATTGCAGGGGGACCAAAAGAAAATCGTGAATTCAGATGCACTTACAGTCATGGCCGAAATTGTTGGCACCCTTGATATTTTTCCTGAAAATCAAGTATTTCACACAAAAAAGGTATTGCATTAACACATGTTTTGCTATACACATGTTTATTCCCTTTGTATGTATTGGAACAAATATAAAACAAGGCAGAAAAGCAAATATGACATAATGTCACACAAAACCCCAAAAATGGGCTGGACAAAAGTATTGGCACCCTTAACTTAATATTTGGTTGCACACCCTTTGGAAAACATAACTGAAATCAGTCGCTTCCTATAACCATCAATAAGCTTCTGACACCTCTCACCCGGAATTTTGGACCACTCTTCCTTTGCAAACAGCTCCAGGTCTCTCTTATTGGAAGGACAAACCTTTTCCCAACAGCAATTTTAAGATCTCTCCACAGGTGTTCAATGGGATTTAGATCTGGGCTCATTGCTGGCCACTTCAGAACTCTCCAGCGCTTCTTTGCCATCCATTTCTGAGTGCTTTTTGACGTATGTTTGGGGTCATTGTCCTGCTGGAAGACCCAGGATCTTGGACGCAAACCCAGCTTTCTGACACTGGGCCCTACAGTGCGACCCAAAATCCTTTGGTAATCCTCAGATTTCATGATGCCTTGCACACAGTCAAGGCACCCAGTGCCAGAGGCAGCAAAACAACCCCAAAACATCATTGAACCTCCACCATATTTTACCGTAGGTACTGTGTTTTGTTCTTTGTAGGCCTCATTCCGTTTTCGGTAAACAGTAGAATGATGTGCTTTACCGAAAAGCTCTATCTTGGTCTCATCTGTCCACAAGACGTTTTCCCAGAAGGCTTTTGGCTTACTCAAGTACATTTTGGCAAACTGTAGTCTTGCTTTTTTATGTCTCTGTGTCAGCAGTGGGGTCCTCCTGGGTCTCCTGCCATAGCGTTTCATTTCATTTAAATGTCGACGGATAGTTCGCGCTGACACTGATGCTCCCTGAGCCTGCAGGACAGCTTGAATGTCTTTGGAACATGTTTGGGGCTGCTTATCCACCATCCGGACTATTCTGCGTTGCAATCTTTCATCAATTTTCCTCATCCGTCCACGACCAGGGAGATTAGCTACAGTGCCATGGGTTGCAAACTTCTTGATAATGTTGCGCACTGTGGACAAAGGCAAATCTAGTTCTCTGGAGATGGACTTGTAACCTTGAGATTGTTGATATTTTGCCACAATTTTGGTTCTCAGGTCCTCAGACAGTTCTCGTCTCCTCTTTCTGTTGTCCATCGCTTAGTGTGGCACAGACAGACACACAATGCAAAGGTTAAGTGAACGTCTCTCCTTTTTATCTGCTTTCAGGTGTGATTTCTATATTGCCCACACCTGTTACTTGCCCCAGGTGAGTTTACAGGAGCATCACATGCTTGTAACATTCTTATTTATCCGCAGTTGTGAAAGGGTGCCAATACTTTTGTCCAGCCCATTTTTGGAGGTTTGTGTGACATTATGTCGAATTTGCTTTCTTTCCTCCCTTTTTTTGTTTTGTCCCAATACACACAAAGGGAATAAACATGTGTATAGCAAAACATGTGTTAATGCAATACGTTTCGTGAGAAATACATGATTTCCTGGAGAAAATATCAAGGGTGCCAACAATTTCGGCCATGACTGTATAATGAGTGGTACAGCACAAATGTTGTTTTGGAGGCCATGAATTAATTTTTTTTAATCTTTATATTAAAATTTTTGTGGAAAAGCAATTATATAAACCAAAAAAAAAAGGAAAAATGACCAAGATGTTACCCATGCAGGGGTGTGTAAAAAGAAACACAGCAGTTATGTTTAATAGAAGCAAGGGTGACACTTGAACAGTTGTGGTGTGGCTTCTCAACGTTCAGCGGTCAAGCTGCAGTGCTATCGCGCTCTTGACGTGCTTTCTGAGCATTTATTACAGGACACGTGACATAAAAACTGCACCAAAAAACGCTTCTCAGAGGCATTTTTGAAGCACTTTTCAGGTATTTTTCAGGCATTTTCCATTGATTTCAATGGGAAGACGTTTTTGAGGTGTTTTTTTTTTTAACTCAACAAACATGCCCCAAAGATGCTGCAAGCAGGAGTTTTTACACCACAAGTGCAACGCCTCAGTGTGAAAACATACATAGATATTTATTCACATACTGTACATAGGGAAGCATTTTTCTTGAGCTTTTCAGGTGTTTTTTGTAACGCAAAAACGCTTCAAAAACTCCACAGTGTGAAAGTAGCCTAACTTATGACATAACATAGTGTATGTTACCATAGATGGGACATGTTATCCAGAAAAGCATTAAAAGGAGTATCGGATCAACCAATCACGATGAAGCAGTAGTATGGCTCCAAGGAGCAGGGCCCTCATATCCCTCTTGTATTGAACTGTATTGTCTCCCGTTATATTGTAAAGTGCTGAGCAAACTGTTGGCGCTATATAAATCCTGTATAATAAATAATAATAATAATAGTATGGTCCGCTAGCCATTTAGACCATACTTTTTTTGTATTTCACAACCACGGTATTGGTGTCTTTATATAACCAGAGATTATTATTTACCAGTTGTTTCCAAAAGGAAATGGATGGGGGTGCTGTTTTTTTCTAGTGCAAGGTGATGGCCTTCCAGACATATGAGACTGACCAAGGTTTTTCTCTGCCCTTGTAGGGATAAGATTTTCCACTAATCCTAGGAGGTACATTTTTATAGCTTTGGGTACAGGGGTCAAGGTAATTGCATTAATAGTGGCCACCACGTCTGTCCAGCACCCATCGACAGCGGAACAATTCCAGAAGATATGGGAAAAATCTCCCGGGGAATGGCCACACCTCCGGCACTCTGAGGAATGAGAGGAATTCAATTTATGAAGCCTGGAGGGAGCAAAGTAGGCTCTGTGAAAGATTTTGAATTGGATCAGTCAGTCATGAAAGGAAACAAGTTTCCAGAATGGAAGATCCTAGATGTCATCCCAGTCAGGCCATGCTTTCTTTTTAGTAATAATCGTGACACTGTATGATCGCAAACTATACATTCTTTTCTGGTCTCATTCTAACATGAGTAAGGCAGGGTGAGATTTCAACCCCCTACTCCCCACTCACTATTACCACTGTTTAAAGGCTCAGTCTAACCAAAACTTATATTAAAGCGATACTAAAGGTTCATAATTTTTTTTTTGTAAAATAACAAACATGTCTATACTTACCTGCTGTGTGCAGTGGTTTTGCATAGAGCAGCCCAGATCCTCCTCTTTTCGGGTCCCCTACAGGCTCTCTTGGCTCCTCCTGTCTTTCGGGTGCCCCTACAATAAGCAGCTTGCTATGGGCTCACCCTCTGCTCCATGTGTCCATTCACACATGGAGCCTTGGCTTGGACTCATCCCCTCTCCTTATTGGCTGACTGGCTGTGATTGACAGCAGCAGGCGCCAATGTCTCTTGCTTGTTGTTTCAGCCAATGAGGAGGCAGAGACCCAGGACACCCAAGGCTGTTGTGCACATTGATAGATTGCGATGGGGCTCAGGTAAGTATTGAGGGGGCTGGGGGCACTGCTGCACACAGAAGGTTTTTTACCTTCTTGCATAGAATGCAGGTAGGTAAAAAACCTTGAGTCTTTACAACCACTTTAATGCTGGACATGGACATCAATGGGTTTAACCACCAACTAGCCCCTTATATCTGAAATTTAGAAAACTAAGGGGTATTGAAAAGTTTAACTTTCAAATATCCACATATAACTACTATTTAGGTTTTGACTGGCCTTAGCCATTATTACTGTACAGAAAGTTTTTCGGTGGGTTATCATATTAAAAGACAATGAGATAATGCTCTCACCATTCCAAAGTGTTCCGATCTCCCAAGAGCTCTCTGATCTCCTCCCGACATTTGTTCTGGTGTTCAGGGTGTGTAGCCATACAGTATAATGTCCAGGAAATCCCGCTGGCCGTTGTATCGTGTCCCGCAAACATGAATGTATCCACCTCTGCACGCAAGTCCTCATCTGACAGACCCTGACCATTTTCATCCTGATGTTTTAAAAAATTCATATATTAGCAAACGTTCCAACATAGTATAATAAAAAAGCAGGACAAGTCAAAAACCTTGCCCAAGTCTACCCAGAATTCTCAACTAAATGATCAGATGAGTCAGCAAAAGCATTTTCTATATTTTTTTTCCTTGGAGGTTGACTTTAAGTTTTGAATTCAGATAAAATTATTACTGTAAATTGTGAGTGAATTTATAGATAATGTCCAACAGGTATTTTATTAAAGATGCCGTTTTATTTATAAAGCCTTCAACCACTGTTCTAATAAATTGAGTTTTAACTGATGTTTCATCATTGTAAGGAAAATGATTCTGCCACTGGCAAGCTAATCAACTAAATGGAGGTTTCCCCTTTTCGAATTATTCCCCCTTGCCGGCCCAGAATGCTGCAAAATCTCCATCACAGTGAGTGAGCGGCAAGACAGTAACATATCGCTGATCCATCTAGCAAGGATCCAACTCCATAGAAAAAGATAAGCAGTCTGTTATAATTATTCTCAGTGGTAATTTGCTGTTCTCGTGAGATTAGCCGTAAGAGGAGTTTTTCTTTCTTTCTGTCCCAGTTACAACTTTATCATCAGGTAAAACCTTCCCAATGGTACCATAGACAGCAAAAAAAAATGGATAAAGGTTCCAAACCCCGTCCAACTCTAAACTAAAACAAAAGTTGCTGGAGGTATACTTTAAATGCATTTTGATGTATTTTTGCTTTATGGGGTTCCAGGAAAACTTTTACACCTTTATACAGATTTATCTGTCTCCAAATAACCAAAATACAGCAATTGTGTTACTTCCTTGGTGTGATAATACCCAATAATAATAATATGCAGGAGCGTATTCACCACAAGACAAACAAGGCATTTGCCTAGGGCAGAATTTTTCAGGGGAGCAGTGGAAGAAGGGACAGAAGAAGGGACACAGGCGGCATAAGGACCTAGTGGGATCCATGAGAGGCTGTGGGCTGCTTGATTGTGTATGCAGAGCCCGGCTCTCGTTTGCGGGGATGTCCGGAGCTGCAAAGTTGTTTCTCTTTCTTGCTGGGTGGGATGGGGGGGGGGGCAGCATGGTAGTGGGTGTATGGGGGCAGTGGAAGGCTCTCTAGGCTGGGAGGTGGGGGTTGGTTGGTGTGGTTGGTGTCAGACTTTCTCTACGGTGGATGGGGGGAGGGGGGGTTGGGGCGATTATTGTGTTGCCTAGGGCAGCACAAAACCTAAATACACCACTGATAATATGTAAAAATACATAACAAATGCACAATGTGAATGAATTTCTCATAATGCTTGTTGTATTCATACTGTGCATGAAAACATTCACAAAACTGAACACAAATAGGGATTTTTAGCATTTATGTTGCTTTGCTATGTAGATATTTGCTATTTGTTAGCTGTTGCCATGGGGTAAAGAACAGAACAAAATGACAAATGGTAGTTTTCTTTTTAAGCCTGATGCACACTGGAAGTTTCTCTATCTCTCCTCCCAGCATCAGCATTTTGGCATAAAAAAAGCTTGACAGTTGTAAGAGTGTTTATTGTTTTTATAATTAATAATACTCGTGAGCCAAAATGTGATACTCCCCTAGTGCAATAAATAATTTAACAAACAAAAATATATATCAAATTATGGTGCATCAACACTTTGCACAATACTCATTATCTGTGCAAATCATACGCTAAATAAAAAATTATATATATCTACAAATATATATATATACGTGTCGCGCTCCAAAGTATACATATAAACTCATATATTAGTGATCATATGAATATTCACGTGCAAAATTAAATGTGCCTCAAACCAGTGCACCTTGTGATGCTATTGCAAAAATAATACTAATCCAATACTCATAAATAGTCCTCTTTATACTCATAACTTTTCAGTGACAAATAGGGTGATTCGTGCCACACTCCCCGTGCTCTATAGATAGGTGTGCGCTCACCTCCTTAATTAGCCAAAGAGGCTAAAAACACTTTTTGTCCTTATCAGGACAGGGTGGAAATCTTCACATTAAATCTTCACGGGGAGGGGCTCTGACGTCACGACGTCGCGGTGGACGAGCGGCATTCACAATCACAGGATCTGGGGCATATACCTGCTGAATACTGATCTATTGGACACTGCAAAATGTGAGTGGTGACTTAACTCTACTAATAAAAGATTGAACCTCACAAAGGATAAGGCACTATTGTGGCTCTCTTTTACATGGTTCATTGAGAGGAAGATATACCTTCCAAATCATTTCTACCCATCCATTGAGGCTAAAATGTGGAAGGAGGAATAAGGGAGACCTCTGGTGGCAGAAATAAGGCAATCCACAGCATGGATGGAAACACGTATTTAATGTGAAGATTTCCACCCTGTCCTGATAAGTTTATATGTATACTTTGGAGCGCGACACGTATATATATATATTTTTGTAGATATATATAATTTTTTATTTAATGTTTTTAACTGCGTCAAGAGTTTAGGAATGAATTAATTTAAGTGCCAAGAATAATAAGCGCTAAAGTGCTAATGTGCCTAGCACTAATGCACGTTTAGGCACGTGTACAAGCATCAACCGTTTTTTCTGCTAAAATGCTGCTGCTCCTGGACACACTAGGTTTTTTTTTCTGCTTCTAAATGCATCTAAAAGTCTATGTGTGCATGGACACACAGGCTAACATGCAGAGCAGGAAAAAAAAAAAAAACGCCAGACGCCCTTAGGTGCTGATGAAAAATGTCCAGTGTGCATGAGGCCACAGGAATCCTGGGAAGGAAGGCAAATTTGGATTGGATAATACTATTTTCACAAAGCATCCTTGGGCTAAGGAAAAACACAAAGATTGCCATCTGCTTATTTTTGTCTGAAAAGGCATATTGCCTGGCTGATATGAAATTTCCTGAGACGTTGACTTCTGAACAAGACTGTAGATCAGCTATACTTGTCTGAAGTCCATGTCTCAGGTTTGAAGCAAGCGGGTTAGCATTAAAACTAGAATTTGCAGAATGACAAGTGAAAAAGAACCCAAAAAAACAAAAAGGGCAAGACAAACACAAAGGACAGAAACAGAAACAACAAAAACAATAAACCAATGAAACAGGTCCAGAGAGGGAGGGTGGGAGAAACCTCATCAGTGCTGGCACAAACTTTAACTGACCTCCGACAAGTCCCAACCCCTCTCCTCACCCTCTTCACTCAAATACTCCAATCAGGTGAGCCACCACCCCTACCAAATGAATATACTCCCACCCCATTAGAATCTCCTTCTCGTCTGCAAGCCCCAGTCATGCTGGCTCTCCCCTTAGCTTTGCTTAGTTCCAGGCCATGTACTGAATGACAAGTAAACAAGCAAACCATGTTTCTCCAGAACTCTATTTTGACAGTCTAATATAATTGCACACATGATCCATGGAAGTAAATAAAATCTTTGCTCCATGAATAACTGATGAAAATTATACTGTCTATATCAAGTGATTCTTTCAGCCTGGATTTGGTACCTTGGCGTACAGAAGAATGTCAAGAAAGTCCAGGTGTCTCTTCTGTTTGACCTTCTCCAACTCATTGTACTGCTTAAGAGATTCTTTCCGCTGTTTGATCACATTATCTGTATTGGAGAAATCGATAGCAATGTTTCAACTAAATATAACATCATGATGTTTTAATGCATAAAATGTTGTAATTCTAACTCTTAGATTGTAAGCTCTGAGGAGCAGGCCCTCCTAACCCTCTTGTATTGAACTGTATTGTTGCTGTATTGTCTCCCGTTATATTGTAATGCGCTGAGCAAACTGTTGGCGCTATATAAATCCTGTATAATAATAAATTAGAAAATTTTGAAATCTGAATATATCAAACCCTTAGGACAAAACAAAAAGATAAATTCAGAGAGGATTATTAATGTAGACGTTCAAGTGGAATTATATATAACACAGCTCTGTGCTTCTTTTTGGGTGACTTCACTTATACATTACTCGCAAGCTCCAAGCCCTGGAACGAGCACCTTTTAAAAGCAGTAAAATTCCATTCAAATTCTAATGAAGGCTAAACTTACTTCAACACCCATTCTAAGACTATTCTATCTAAGAACCAGCAAACACAAATGCTCCTGCACTTGGGGATGGACTTGATGCAGGCTACAACCACATTAAGAATGTCCTGGAACATGCACACCTTGCTGCCCTCAATAGACCAGGGAAAACCAAATATACTGAATATATATAGGGCTCTGAGGAAGAGGCAAGTCCTCAAAACGCGTCAGCCTTTTGGATGTCTAAAATCCCTATTGCGGACTGTTACTCAGCGCGGTGTTGACCCAGCTGTTCTTTATGATGTGCCTTGACTATATTGTCGTTTGTGAGTACAACACCTACTTTATTTCTTATTAAACATTTTTTATGGTAATGCACTAGGCCTGTGCGCCCTCTGTTTTGTCTTTCCTCATTCACTATTCTATCTAACCCTGTAAAGAAAAGATCTGTATACTTACCTGCTCCAGTCCAGTCACATGATCTTTCCAGTGGCTGTTTTAGTGTAGAGTAGAGGTTGACGACAACGGCAGCAGATCCCAGGCGATGATATCACTCATAGGCATACTATGGGCAGGGGGCGAACTGACCATTTGGAGACACGGGCACTGCCCGAGGGCCCAGGGTCAGTAGGGGGCCCCATGAGATGCCCTTGGTACCTTTTTCATAGGCTTTTTTGAGTTTGGGCAAGGACACAGGGGCCCTATGATACCCTATTGAGGGCCCAGGGTCAGTAGGGGGCCCCATGAGATGACCCTGGTACCTTTTTCATAGGCTTTTTTGAGTTTGGGCAAGGACACAGGGGCCCCATGATCCCCTATTGCCCGGGGGGGCCCATGAGTTGTCAGTCCGCCCCTGACTATGGGGCATCCTTTGTCCGCTGCCCCTTCTCTACACTGAAGCTGCCGCTGACACCTGATCATGAACGGACTGGAGTAGCTTCATAATAGGTAAGTATACACATCTTTTCTTTCACAATGTAGGTAGAATAGTCTTAGAATGGGGGTGGGAGTAGATTTAGCCTTAGAATTTGAATGAATGTCCACTTTCAGTTATGGTTATGGTACAAATTTGAACACAGCTTTTATTTAACCACTTCAATACCGGGCACTTTTACTCCCTTCCTGCTCAGGCCAATTTTCAGGTTTCAGAGCTCTCAAACTTTGAATGAAAATTGTGCGGTCATGTAACACTGTACCCAAACTAAATTTTTATCATTTTGTTCACACAACTAGAGCTTTCTTTTGGTGGTACTTAATCGCCATTGGGTTTATTTTTTTCTAAATTAACAAAAAAAATTAAAAAATCGAACATTTTTAACAAAAAGTTTTTTTTCTGTTTCTGTAATAAAAATTTGCAAATAAATAATTGTTCTTCATAAATTTAGGCCAATATGTATTCTGTTACATTTCTTTAGTGAAAATAACCCAAATCAGTGTTTATTATTTAGTCTGTAGGAAAGTTATAGAGTTCACAAACTATGAGATATGTCTGAAAATTGATCAATCCTGAAGTACTGACAGCCAATCTAATTTCTTGAGGCCCAAAAATGTCAGAACAGTACAGATATACCCCAAATGACCCCTTTTTGCAAAGCAGACAGTCCGAAATATTTCATAAGAGGCATGGCAAGTTTTTTGAAGTTGTAATTTTTTTTGTCATACTTTTTTGGAAAATGAACAATTATTTTTTAACATACTGTCACCAGAGCAGTACAGCATCATAATATAACTGGTGTGGCAGTGATCAGGGACACTGACTGGTGACAGTACAAAAAATTTAAAGTTTATAATTTTGTTTTCAGTTTTTTTTATTGAATTCTTTTTTTTATTATTACAATTTTTTCTCTTTTTTTACAATTTTCTTTTCATATTACACTATGATCAAAGTAGTATAATGATACCATAGTAACATTGTATTATGGTGATCAGTATTTTTTTTTTTTTTTTTTTTAGACAATATGATTGCTTATATCAAAGAATTTCTTTGCTACAAGCAAGCATTTAACTGAATGAAAATTGATTCATTTGGGTTTTTTTAGTTGTGATTAGCTGTGATTGGCCACGGCTAATCACCTGACACAGATGGGCTGTGATTGGCCCAGTCTGTGCATGTGATCACTCTGACTGATCACAGCTGGTGACTCAATTGTATACAATGGATGGCATGAAAGGAAGCCATCCATTGTTTACAACTATCATGTGACCTACTGTGATTGGTCACAGCAGGTCACATGGTACTGGCAATGGGTCAGTACACAGATCTGTCATCGGCTGTGTTCAAGGTACACAGCCGGTGACGGATCTCCCCACAACACGGCCCTGCGGGCATACGCAAGGCACGATCCAGGAAGGATGTCATATGATGCCCACCGATCGACGAGAGTCCTGCCTGGCCGTCATTTTCTTATTGGGCGGGTGGGAAGTGGTTAAAGTGTATGTAAAGCCAAAACTGTTTTTAGTTTTGGATAAAGTAGGAAAGGGTTAAAGCTGTCTGTAATGTACATGTTGCTCAATGTGTTGTGGCCCCTAGGGGTCGCTTCAAGGAGGTGAGGAGGCACTCTAGCCACTTTTCGATACTGATACACACGTGTGTCACACAAGTACAAATTTTGTTTGGAGTGAAGAATTGAAGCACCACTATTGCCTTTTTTGCACATCAATCTTCATGCACTAGTTTTGCACTTTTTTGTGGACTTTTAATCTATAGGTATATTTGCCTATTGTGTCTACAGTTAAAGCACCTGTCACTTTCAAATAGAGTGATATATTTATCTTCTCATCAACTTTACCCTTATGAGGGTTCTTTTGTTGGCACATTAGTACAGGTTTGTGATTGACTTACCTGCTTGCACTTCATCACTTGATATCCACCTACAGTATTTGAGCATGATTTTTAAGCACCACCTAGAACATTTATGATTTCATATGTATTTTTTTATTATTCCCTTTGGTGATTTTATGCAATAATATAGCATTCTAGATTTATTACTCTACTTATTTATATCTATATGTGTAGCGCTTCACCACCAGTATATTATTATTGCATATCCTCAGGTATTAGGAAAAGGTGATAGCAGCTCGCATAGATTTATTGATTCTATCATTACCAGTGGAGCGCAGGGGGATTATTGTCTACATTTACTATAATTACTAAGCTGGTTATCAACTCTAATCAGTGCATCAGATTGTATATAAGATTTGTATCTGCTAGTGTGTGGTCGACCAGCTGGATTGGAGCGGAGTCTCCATCTGGTGGTGGCCAAAGGTAGTGCGGGCTGTGAAAAGGTATCATGGCTGATCTTATATACAGTTTTATATATTCAAAGTTCAGTTCCCTTTATTCCCTCTTACCCCAAGTCATGGCCGCACGTGCGCGTTAGCTAGTCGCTGTGGGCATGGCGTGTGGGGGATCCGTGACACTGTCATGTTAGCTTTTTGCTGCCTGTGTATCATTGGGGAAGTTGCCTTTCATTTCCTTTTCTGAAACGCAACAAAGAGTTGGAGGAAGTCTCCCAAAATTAGGGACATTTCCATTTAGATATTTCTCATCAAATCAAGTGTCCTTGTTGGAATATTTCCTCTTACCTCTTGTTCTGGGAAGAGCTATAAAATGTTGGATTTTTCCCTCACAGTGTTTCTAGGTGACCATGATTACAAGTAAAAAATAGGCCTCGTTCACACCAGGCCTCGTTGGGCTGTGTTGGGCAGCTTTGCTCAGCACAGTTTCAAAGCAAAGACAAGGCAAACTTTGCTCAATAAAGTTCCTACTAAACTTTAAAATACCTTTTGATATAAAGTATATCTGCATGATGTAGCTCCCCAATGCAAGAGCTACCTGCTTGTTGTGCTTGAAGTAGCCTTTTTCTAACTTTTTTGCCCTATGAAATAATATTTAGATCTCAGGAAACTCTTGGTAAAACAAATTGAATAGGGAGCAAGGTCAAAATGTGTCTGATGTGAATTTGAAAGAATGCCCCCCTTACAGTGATGGTCAGAATACCACCTTTACAGGCAGCTAAAAATATAACTGGTATCATGCAGCTGGCTCTGCCAAGTGGTGTTGGCCCTCGAACTGTGATGGGCACCATAAGATGAGAGTTCAATCAGCCACAGCTCAAGGTACCCTGGTTGAGAATGGCTGGCCCAGAGGATGAAGATGAATGTTGATCCCCTACTCCAGTGTTTTCTGTGTCACTAGCCATACTTTTACCAGGTCAGTGGGTAATAATTTACTAAAGTCAGAGGCAGCCAGACAAATACCTTTTTCTGAAGCAGGTCAGTGATGTTAGCCTTCATACTTTACCCATGGCTGGTGTCCTGTAGCATTCATAATCTGACACTTACTTGTAAATTCATGAGCTGTTCTTAGTGCCCTCCGGAAGCGAAATCCATGTGGGCTCAGATTGAAGATGAGATCACTATGGAATAGGACATTTCGGAATCGATAATCTGCCAGGTAGGACAACTCATAGACAGCCTTGATGTATTCACTCTCACTAAAAGGGAACAAAATGCAAGACCAGTCTATGCCATGCAGTAATCACTTTTAGCCCCAGGTATCCTCATAGCAAAAAACCAAAAAGTACTCATATTTTCACAGTACTTTCAGAAGATACTGACCTGTCATTCTGGCAGTTGCTCTGGTAACTGAAGGCACATTTCATGATGGTGTCCAACGTCATGAGGCTGACATGATGGAACAGCTCTACAGACTTCTTCTCTGAGACCAGATGCTCCCATTTGTCCTACAAAGATCAAACAGGAAGGAATAGATTAATGCAATCATCCATAGGGTCAGGTTTTTTTTGTTTGTTAAAGATAGAGCGCAGAATAGTAAAAACGTATCTGGTTTTTATTACTGCCTGTGACTACTCTGGTAAGATGTGTCCTTTTCTTGTCCCTGTGTATCCAGGACAATGAGACACAGACAACAATACTAAAGCTGGCCATACACTGGAAGGCTATACACTAGAATTGTTTTAATTTTTTTTTGTTTTAAGAACATTTCATTTTCTAATCGTTAATGAGTTAAACCAATGTTCGTTTTTGATCACAGCAATAAGAAAATTCAAAGAAGATGGATGGAAATTTTTTCTCAAATTAATGTGTGGTTTTCATTCAGGAAATTACATTCATTGCAAAATTGAATGTTAAAAGAAAACATTTTGAAGTACTGTCATACAAAATTTGCCCAGTCACTGAATGTACAAAGAATTTTCATACAAATGTTCATAACTTTTTGTCCAGACGTTGATTCAAAAACCAGCCTACCAATTTAATTACTATCCCTTCTACTACTACTACTACATTTTTTTTGTCCTGTTTTAACAGGAAATGAGAGAAAAAGTATCGGCACAGCAATAAAGCCCTAACAGAGGCTCATACCCTTCCCTTTTCCAAATAAAACATAAAAAGATTTGGGTGAATTTGGGCTTTACGCATAAATTTGACAATTAAACTGACACTATGCTCTGATTTAAAATAATATATTCAATTCAAGTACAAAGAAGATTGTTTCCCATGGGACTTTAATGCAGCCATACACATATACAAATGTATTAAAAAGATTTTTATTCATACAAATTCCATTAAAAACCATAACGATGAAATTGGAATACTTAGGCTCTGACATTCAACCTGTTTGTAATTTGATAACTTGTGCCTCTGGACATAAATTACAATGACAATATGGTATAAGCCACTTGAATGGACTTAAGATATACAGCCTATCCCTGACATGTTTTGATTAATATATAATCTTCATCAGAGGGAATATGATGGTACCTATAATAGAAAAAAAAGAGACCAAAACAGCAGAATGCTAAAATCAATTTGCTATTGTACTACTTCACATTTCATTAGTAACACTCACAAAAATTTCCGGAGAGCATAAAGGGGTAGTTCAACACCAACAATTATAGGTGACTGAAAACCTCCCCTCATAGCTGGGGAACGCAAGCTTTGCCAAGAGGCATGGAATGATGGCTCCCTCCGTGTCCTCGTGGTGGGCAAAATCTGCCCACCACTCCATCCAGATAGACATGCCATTGCAAGACACACTGTGATGACGTCATCACACATGTGCAGAGCACCACAATGTTGTGCACATGCACACAAGGCCAACTCATAGTCAGCATGGAATTTTAATGAAATTTGTATCAATAAAAAATATTTTTTATACTTTTATGTTTATGTGTATGGCTGCACTAAAGTCCCATGGGAGACAATATTCTTTGTAATTATAATTTATGGATGTAGCAACCCTTAACTCACGACTATCTACCCACCTGCTGTCAAGGTCCTACCTTTCCTCAGAGCTTGTGCTGCTCCATGTGTTGGCATCCACCTTAGGTGTCTGCAAAGCATTGTGGGATCCTTTATGCTTTCTGCCCTCTGTGGCTCCTCCCCCAGGAGGTGGCAGCTTATCACATATAAATCTGCTGTTTGTAGATGTCCATTGCATTCGTGTCCTGTCTGTTGCACAGCAGCAAGCTCCTGTTTAGTTTCTCATTGCTCTCCTGGATACCGACTCGGCTTTGGCAAGACTCCTTCCTGGATTCTGACCCCGGCTCTGGCGACCATCCTTCCTGGCTTCTGATCCCAGCTCTGGCGACCATCCTTCCTGGCTTCTGATCCCAGCTTTGGTGACCATCCTTCCTGGCTTCTGACCCCGGCTCTGGCGATCATCCTTCCTGGCTTCTGACCCCGGCTCTGGCGACCATTCCTCCTGGCTTCTGATCCCAGCTTTGGTGACCATCCTTCCTGGCTTCTGACCCCGGCTCTGGCGACCATCCTTCCTGGCTTCTGACCCCGGCTCTGGCGACCATCCTTCCTGGCTTCTGATCCCGGCTCTGGCGACCATTCTTCCTGGCTTCTGATCCCGGCTCTGGCGATCATCCTTCCTGGCTTCTGACCCCAGCTCTGGCGATCATCCTTCCTGGCTTCTGACCCCGGCTCTGGCGACCATTCTTCCTGGCTTCTGACCCCGGCTCTGGCGACCATCCTTCCTGGCTACTGTTCTACCAAGTCATCCGCTGTTGCTGTTGGACTTACATAGACTTTGTCTTGTTTTTGTATAATAAACCTACCTTTAATTGCACCTCCTTGTGTGTCTGGCTCCTCACTCCCTGACACCCGCATGATATTCTATTCAAGTATGTATCTTAACTTAGAAAAGCACCTTCTATTGTTCTATGGTTTCTTCAAATCTCCAAATTCCATTTTTTTTTTTCGCTGCTGTGATCTGAGGATGGCTATGTTCACTCTCCATGGCTCCACTATAAGTAAGAGCATGGGCACCCTCTGTTGCTCACTCTCAAGATAGACTAGGGACTATGGAATCTGTAGTGTGTATAGCGCAGTGCACATGACCCTAACTAAAGTGCACCGTTCATGTCAAACAAACGTAAGTGAAGGGGAAACGTAGAGGTTCACAAGCTCACAATGGACGTTACAAGGAGGTAGAAAAACACAGTAAGAAACAATTTCATGAAAAATATATTACAGGGTCATTAAGTAGCAGATGTGTATGGGTTAGCTTTCAAAATGAAGGATATCGTTTAATGTCACTGTAAGGTAAACCATTCAAAAACAAAGTACAGGGCCTGCCTTAGGTCTTGTTCTTCCCCCAGCCTGGGACTGAACAGTAAAAGGAGAAGCAGCAGACTGATGAGTTCATCTCTCTGTTAGTACATGAGCATTACAGCAAAATGAATTGGCTCCTTGTTCTGCTTATCTTTCATCTAGTCTGAATGTTGCAGTACAGGGACTGCAGGAGGCTGTACAAATTCAGATACTTATAATGATAACATGAAAAAACACACACATTAAATGATTTATTAATAAAAAGATTTGCATACTGTAAATGTGTGTCTTTTATATCTGCCTGGAGTTCAGCTTTAACTTGCGGCATACTTTCTCTGGGTCAGCAAATCATAAAATATATAGAAAAAAATTAGGTCAGCATGACAGCCAGGATTCCATCAGTTCCAAGAGAGGTTGGCAAAGGCAAGTTAATATATTATTGATAACTTATGGTTAGTTTCCCCTCCACCAGCTGGGAAAAGGGTTGCTTGCTTACCCTCTACAGGGTCAGCCTATATGTCATCACTGATTCCTCCTTACCAGCATCACATTAGTGCAGTCTGACATCAGTCTCACATATGGCTTCAGAACATCATAATGGAAACCCGGGGTCAGCAGCTTGCGGTGCTGGAACCACTTTGCCCCAGATAATACCAATAACCCTTTCCCTGCATAACAAAAGCACAGTAGAAGGATTAGAGCAGAAGATACACAACTACCAGAGTTACATGTACAGTACATGGCCAGTGCACACCAAACTAAAAAACTCAATTGAGTTGAATATTCCATTGGCTCTTTAAGGCTTTGTCCACATGTGCAGCTAGGGGTGGTAAAACCAGGTGATTGAACAGTTCCCCCCCCCCCCCCCCCCCCCCCCCGCCAAACCAACTGTTTGAACCTGGGCATGAAGCCGCTCAGGGATGTTGAATGCCCAAACGTGGCAAAAATGAAAGATCATGCTGCATTTGCTGAGTATTACCACTGCCAAATTTGACCAGTGCAACTCTAGGGGGCATTGCCGAAACTGCCTCGCAACCACAAGCAATGCACGACATTATGGCACGATAGTGTAGCACTTACAGAGTCAACTGTGGCGGTGAGGAGGAAACATAATGTCTTATCATTACTTGCAAAGGGGAGACTTTTGAAAAATAATTAAAATGTCCTCATGTACTGTATATACATCAGCCTTTCGTAAGCTTTTCGACACAGAGGAATCCTTGAAACTCAGGGAAACCCTCCTAAAAATGATTATATCTGTAACACATGATACATTAGTGTGATGGTCGGTGGGAAGAATGCTCCTTACACTTGTGCAAAAAATTACACCCTTACAGGTAGCTAAAAAGATCAGTTGTACAACTCCTAGCAAATAGTATGGTATCACCTCTCTTGGAAAAAGTTTATTCAATTGTTTAATTCTGTATAAAAAAAAACAAGCACAGACATGCCTCAAAACTATTCCTTTACCATTCCACCCTTATGGAAGCACTTAATTCTGAGAAAACATTGTGGAATCACCATGTACTTTGCAGTTCTAAAACAAACATCTACATCAGATTACATCTGCTAATTAGTCTGCAGTTAAAAAAAGAGTTCTTGCACACCTTGGTGAGCTGTTGCACCAAGCTGATTGACATGAATCATGGCTCCAACACCAGAGATGTCAGTTGAAACAAAGGAGAGGATTATAAAACTTCAAGAAGGTAAATCATCATGGAATATTGCAAAAGATGTTGGGTGTTCCCAGTCAGCTGTGTCTAAAATCTGGACCAAGTACAAATCAAATGGGAAGGTTGTAAAAGGGAAGCGTACTGGTAGACCAAGGAAGACATCAAAGTGTCAAGATAGAAAACTTAAAGCAATATTCTTGAAAACAGAAAATGCACAACCAGGGGCGGACTGACAACTCATGGGGCCCCCGGGCAATAGGGGATCATGGGGCCCCTGTGTCCTCATCCACACTCAAACAACACCCAAATAAAAGCCTGTGAAAGGTACTAGGGGCATCTCGTGGGGCCCCCTAATGACCCTGGGCCCTCGGGCACCGCCCGAGTACCCGAATGGTCAGTCCGTCCCTGTGCACAACAAAAGAAAGAAAAGCTACAATTTCTGGGGAAAGTGTTCTTGCCTGCTCACACACCTGGGTTCCTATGGCAACTCACTCTACAGCAAGGGCAGAGAAGAGCGGTTAAATCAAACTGCTCCAACTTGCTCACTTCACTGGCGGTTGCCATCTTCAAACGGTTGTAGTTTCAAAATTTTAAATTCTACACTGAAGAGCTTTATATTGTGAGAATCACAAGACCCAGACTTACATTTTGATGCATAGTATGTCTCTGAAATATTAAAAATGAAGGCACAGTCACAGTTTATAAATTGCCCTTTAAATTTGAGGTGGCTAGAGTGGAGTTTCAATGAATGTCAATGGGCAGCATGACTTGCAAACAAATGGTCATATTCTGAAAACTGTCAGGACTATGGCTTAGCCGTGAATTTTTACTGGCAGCAGGGATAGCTGAATGTTTTGATATAAGATTTGTGTAGGTGGGCTTGAAAATGAGGGAGTGATGGCAGTTTAGAAATCATGTCCTGATTTTTCAGCTCACACTCTAGCTTTTGTCAGCTCCCACTCTAGTTTTGAATATTCCGCCATTCATTCCTATGGGACCAATTTCACCACAAAAACACTGATATTTTGTGTACCATTCGGCGAAACGTTCCACAAAGTAATAGCACAGCAATCGGGAACAATCCGCACGTTTCAGTATATTAATGTTTATGTAGTGTAAAAACTGTGGGAGGAGTTAGGGTGGTAAATTTGGCTATAATAATAAGAATATATACAGTGGGGCAAAAAAGTATTTAGTCAGCCACCAATTGTGCAAGTTCTCCCACTTAAAAAGATGAGAGGCCTGTAATTGGCATCATAGGTAGACCTTAACTATGAGAGACAAAATGAGAAAAAAAATCCAGACAATCACATTGGCTGATTTGGAAAGAATTTATTTGCAAATTATGGTGGAAATCAAGTATTTGGTCAATATCAAAAGTTCATCTCAATACTTTGTTATATATCCTTTGTTGGCAATGACAGAGGTCAAACGTTTCCTGGAAGTCTTCACAAGGTTGGCACACACTGTTGCTGGTATGTTGGCCCATTCCTCCATGCAGATCTCCTCTAGAGCAGTGATGTTTTGGGGCTGTCGCTGGGCAACACGGACTTTCAACTCCCTCCAAAGGTTTTCTATGGGGTTGAGATCTGGAAACTGGCTAGGCCACTCCAGGACCTTGAAATGCTTTTTAACAAAGCAACTCCTTTGTTGCCCGGGCGGTATGTTTGGGATCATTGTCATGTTGGAAGACCCAGCCACGTTTCATCTTCAATGCCCTTGCTGATGGAAGGAGGTTTGCACTCAAAATCTCACGATACATGGCCCCATTCATTCTGTCCTGTACATGGATCAGTCGTCCTGGTCCCTTTGCGGAGAAACATCCCCAAAGCATGATGTTGCCACCCCCATGCTTCACAGTAGGTATGGTGTTCTTTGGATGCAACTCAGCATTCTCTCTCCTTCAAACACGACGAGTTGTGTTTCTACCAAACAGTTCTATTTTGGTTTCATCTGACCATATGACATTCTCCCAATCCTCTTCTGGATCATCCAAATGCTCTCTAGCAAACTTCAGACGGGCCCGGACATGTACTGGCTTAAGCAGGGGGACACGTCTGGCACTGCAGGATCTGAGTCCCTGGCGGCGTAGTGTGTTACTGATGGTAGCCTTTGTTACGTTGGTCCCAGCTCTCTGCAGGTCATTCACTAGGTCCCCCCGTGTGGTCCTGGGATTTTTGCTCACCGTTCTTGTGATCATTTTGACCCCACGGGGTGAGATCTTGCGTGGAGCCCCAGATCGAGGGAAATTATCAGTGGTCTTGTATGTCTTCCATTTTCTAATTATTGCTCCCACAGTTGATTTGTTCACACCAAGCTGCTTGCCTATTGTAGATTCAGTCTTCCCAGCCTGGTGCAGGTCTACAATTTGTTTCTGGTGTCCTTCAACAGCTCTTTGGTCTTCACCATAGTGGAGTTTGGGGTGTGACTGTTTGAGGTTGTGGACAGGTGTCTTTTATACTGATAACTCATGTTTTGCATTGTATTGGTATTGTTCTGTCACATGTTCTGTCTCCCTTTGTAATGTACAGCGCTGAGCGAACTATTGGCGCTTTATAAATACTGTATAATATATAATAATAATAATAACAAGTTCAAACAGGTGCCATTGATACAGGTAATGAGTGCAGGACAGAGGAGCCTCTTAAAGAAGAAGGTACAGGTCTGTGAGAGCCAGAAATCTTGCTTGTTTGTAGGTGACCAAATACTTATTTTCCACCATAATTTGCAAATAAATTCTTTCCAAATCAGCCAATGTGATTGTCTGGATTTTTTTTCTCATTTTGTCTCTCATAGTTGAGGTCTACCTATGATGCCAATTACAGGCCTCTCTCATCTTTTTAAGTGGGAGAACTTGCACAATTGGTGGCTGACTAAATACTTTTTTGCCCCACTGTATGTGAGATAACAGTAATGTTGGGAATGCAACAGCATGTACTATATACAGTATTGTGTGTTAATATCACTTGACCAGTAGATGGCACTGTACACTAAGGTTACCAGTTGTGCATATCTGTAAACTCTCTCTCTCTCTCTCTCTCTCTCTCTCTCTCTCTCTCTCCTCTCTCCCTCTCTCTCTCTCTCTCTCTCTCTCTCTCTCTCTCTCCTCTCTCTCTCTCTCCTCTCTCTCTCTCTCTCTCTCTCTCTCTCTCTCTCTCCTCTCTCTCCTCCCTCGTTACAGTCTGCTGAAATATGTTTTGTATGTTTGCAACTTAAGCCACACAAGTAAACCAAGTTCTGCCTCATCACAAGCTACTAGTGTCTTCTCTAACACATAACCAACAAGTAAGTGGTCTTGCCATGCAAGAAAACTTAATGAGGAACAAATGGGCAGAAACTGGAGTCAATGTCTGTGACCGAACTGTAAGACATCACCTAAAGGAAAAGGGATTTACATACAAAAAAAAACAATTGAAAACCAATATTAACAAGGTTACAATGGGCTAAAGAAAAGCAATCATGGACTGTGGATGGCTGGATGAAAGTGATATTCAGTGGTGAATCACGAATCTGCATTGGGCAGGGTGATGATGCTGGAACTTTTGTTTGGTGCCATTCCAATTAAATGTATAAAGACGACTGCCTGAAGAAAACATGCAAATTTCCACAATCATTGATGGCAAGGGGTCCCATGTCAGGTAAAGGTACAGGAGAGATGACAGTCATTAAATCTTCAATAAAAGCACTAGTTTATATTGAGATTTTGGACACTTTTCTTACTCCATCAATGAAATTGAAAGGATGTTTGGTGATGATGATGACATCATTTCTCAGGATGATAATGCATCTTTCCATAGGGCAAAAGCCATGAAAACTTTCCTTCAATAAAGACATAATGTCAATGGCATGGCCTGCAAACAGTCCAATTGAAAATCTATGGTGGAAATGAAAGAAAATGGTCCATGACAAGGCTCCAACCTGCAAAGCAGATCTGGCAACTGCAATAAGAGAATGTTGGAGCGGGACTGATGAAGAATACGGTTTGCCAATAGTTAAATCCATGCCTCAGAGAATTCAACCAGTTATAAAAGCCAGAGGTGTTGCAGTAAAAGTACTAGTGGTGTACTG